CTCACAGACCATTTTTTTTCTGCAACTCATTTTGAATGCTATCATTTTTCCGACACAATTTGGTGCAATATTTTACCTATTTTTTATATAGTTTTCTAGGATTTATTTGTTGATTTGTGAACAAAAATATGGTAATTAGTATCAAGGTTTATTTTGTAAATTATGAATTTGGCATTCAAAGAAATGACATAAATTATTGTTTCAATTTCATTATTGACATTTACAGTTATTGTAATTTCAAAGTTACTCGTAATTTTCTTTATAATAATTTGATATTATAATTATAAACTTGAATCCAAATTGTGAAACTTAAGTTTTCATGAGAACTAGAAGAACTATATTGTGGGAGGTGCTGAGAGTTGACAGTGATTGTGAAAGCATTGGTGATATGCAAATTATCTCATTGATATGCACAGACAACATATAATTTTTGTGTGAGAGGTGATCAAAATTGACAATGTTAATGACAGGAATAAAGTGAATAAGCAATAGTTGTGTTTCTTATCAAAGTTTATTTATTTGTTTGTTTGTTTGTTTGTTTGTTTATTTATTTGTTTGTTTGTTTGTTTGTCTGTCTGTCTGTCTATTTATTTATTTATTTATTTATTTATTTATTTATTTATTTATTTATTTATTTATTTATTTCAGATGGGTAGTACTGGTTACCAGCCTAGTTGGATCAAACATAAGTACGGTAGTTGGTATTTAAATCCTAAGACATGGAAAAAGAGACCTGCTAATGAAGTGAGTTATGTTACAGTTTAATGTACAACTGAAAATTTTTGCTGTTTAATTTAATAATTGTTGAACAACCTTTGCAAGTCATTTGTTTGTCTACATACAAGTATCAGAAACAAACTTCTTTGTGAACAATAAGAATTCAATTTATTTATATTGTTAGAACATTGATTGCAAAAAAAATACTAGTACAATTGAAATGTATTCAAGTAATCAAAGACTTGTGTATATAAAATAAAATACATGTAAATAAATAAATAAAATAAAATAAAATACATGCAATGTGAAATGCTTTCAAGATCATGGCATTAATCATGTTTGCATACAAATTCGCCATTTTGAAAGTGTTAAAGCTGCCTATTTTAGTAAATTTTCTGTGCTAGAAGAAAAGGTTAAACAATATTATTGTTCCAATTTCATTATTTCACAGTATGCGACCTACCTATACACACAGCGTGTCTCAAATTTTGCCTTTGTGCCAAGCTCATATGGGAACATAGTCTTAGCTCATATGGGAACATAGTCTTAGCTCATATAGTTGTACAATCCCAATGATGTTGAGATGCCATGGTTACTGTAAAATACTTTATTTCAGCTGCAATTAATTTTCACTGAAAAGACATTTTGGTTGTTTCGTATGTATTATTTTTTACTGATTTTTTGTTGAATGTCAAATATATGAAAAAAAAGGTATTTTCTGATTCAACCATTCAGCGAAAAATAGTGAAAATAAATTCAAATATACTGCTAATTAACAGAGGTATACACTGCTCATTGGTAATATGCAAAACAAGTAACATTAATATTATTTTATTTGCTCTCGTTATTTGCTTAAATTAAATATTTCTTATGTCTATTTCATGTGTCAAGTTAGTTCATGGGAGCTCTTTCATGCTGTCTTTGATTATTAATTTCCATAATATTTAGTTGTACTGATAGATTGATTTATTCTTGTGTACTACCTGCTTCAGTAGGCAGATATCATTTGTGATCTGTTGGATATTGATTTTCACGCATAGACTGATTAGATTCAATAACTATATATTAAAATTACTGTATTTCTACATAGATTTGTCCAGTATAGTGAAATCACAGTATTCAAATGTGAAATTATTGGTTATAACTCATACACATAGTCCAGTTAAAAACATAATTACTGCTCATACATTTCTACCAGTAAATTGAATAAATATGGCATTAAATACTATATGCCCAGCCATCTACCACCTATGCTACTGATGAATGGTCATTTCCTATAATCATCTATTTTGAATAGTTACTTAAAAGAACAATCACCAAATATCATCTACTATATATTATTAATATGATAATCTCAATCTAATGAATAATAACAACAAATTGTTTTTTAAATTACTCCAGCCACTGCAAGATCCTCAAGAGCTGAAAGACAAAGAAATGTCTGAATCCAAAAAGAACAGCTTGGCCATGGATGAGGAGTTAGCACCACTCCATGGGGCTAAAGCATTTAAAGATTTTATTGAGACCAAAAATAACAGAATGCCAGAGGTAAGGTTTCCACCACTAATTATATTACAGGATTTAATTAAATATTTATAGTTTGATTATGAATAATTACAGTGTAACCTGTTTTTCTTTTGTTTTTTTTAAACAGTTTTTGAACCGTGTTGCTGATTTCCAAGAAAAAGCCAAGGCTGCAGCAGAAGCTGCTGCTGAAGAAGCGGCAAAGAAAGCGGAACAAGACAGATCCAAAAAAGACAAATCGTGATAACTTAAGAAGAGTTTCTCTGAATTAAATTTACAGTTTTTAATTGTAATGTTTTGTTTCACTTTCATAAATAAGAAAAGATGGAGTTTGCAAAATACATGTTCTTCTGTTTATTAATCACTATAGCCGTCCATTGTATTTTGAGAAAGTTCAGTCATACATGGTCAAACATAGTACTGGTATGTTCAGATAAGGAATGAAATATCCTTGGGCAATTTGGATGTACTCCTTTCTTTTCCTTTTACCAGTGTTTGAGCTACAGCTAGAGTAACCACAGATGAAGAGTGTTAATACCATCTGCAAAAGAAGAAGAGATGGTTACCCACACTATTCAGTGCAGCAGAAAAACAAAGTCGATTTCAAAGCTAGACACTAAGGGTTAAAGTCCTAAAGCCCAGGACTGGTAAAATTGCTATTCAAAAAACTGAATTGTAACTTGTCATTACAGACAGTGATAAATATACAGGCAACATTTCACACAAGTGAGTTTTAAAGTTAAAATCAAGCCCTGCATAGAGACGGGGATTGGGAGCCAATAGTTTGTTTTACAAATTGGAGTTTTAACTTACTGATCAGTGAAAATAAATTCCATACAAAAGTATTTTCAGCGAAAATTAATTCCAGCTAAAATAAAGTAATTTACAGTAGCGGTTGTGGTGATTTATAACACCTGTTATCACTTGTTCATTGATACAAGTAACATTTACTATTGTGAACAATATGATCATGTGATAATGATGAAGATTAAATATGCAGCCAATATTTGGTTTCACCACAGGGAGTAGGACAAATATTTTATTAAAAAAATTAAAAACAAATAATTTATCTACCCTACTAAAGTAAACCTAATTATTATTGATGAAGTTCATTAATGAGTGGAACATGTAATTAGGTGACAAAGACTATTGACAAGGAGACCAGTTCATTGTACAGGAAGGAGGTAAATAATATTATATTTTGTACATTTTTTTCAATAAAATATTTTTCCTACTCCCTGTGGTTTCCCAAATTGTAGTTACTTGGTGACTCAAAGCTTTGATGGTGTTTGTTTCTGTGTTTAGCCAAATCAACAGTCATCAGAAATCAGATGAATGCCATGTGGTAAATGTAATCTTACAGTGGTATTTATTTACATATGTGTATTCACTCTTTAAACTGGCAGTTATGAAATCATGTTGCTCACTCTAGCAATATTGTAATAGACTCAAGTTACTGTACCTTTTTATTGTTTTGAAATAAAAACTTGTAAATAATATCCATTTAACTATTTGTATGCAAATATATATTTTTTAAACAGTGCATGCCTCTTTAGTATGAAAACTTCAACGCTTCATTTCACCATAGTCAGTAATTTGTGCAAAAATCATACCCATTCATTTTCTGTCATAATGATATTGAAGTACGAGTCAGTAGAAAATTTGAATGAAGTAATTTGAGTTTATAATGCCAATTGAAGAAATATATAAAATTATTTATTAATTTATGCAAATTAGCTTATTAATAATCATGTTATTGTGTGAAATTCTTTTCGTTCTTTTTATTACATGATATGAAAATGTGAAAAAAATGGTTAGTAATTATGTTAATGAAATGATTAATATGCATAGATTGAAATATATCCTTTATATATATAGTGAAATATATCCTTTGACTTTCTGCATTTTGTCACATTTTTGCAAACTGTGGATATACCATAAATTTCATTACAATTAGATTACAAATCAATGTATATATAAGTTCTGCTTTTAATCTATAAATGTCAGTCTATGATTGTATGGTAACGCCTCTAACTACTCAATCAAAAACAGATAAAACATTTAAAAGTAAAGATAATAACGATAATAAAATTACTTTTAAATCATGTCGGCCCACCTGCTAATAGGTATTCGTGTAACACTCGCGGATAGACGGCACTATCTCCGTGAAACATCGCCACCAACGTCAACTCTTTGTCGTGCTTTCGTTTAATTGGCTTTCGTTTAATTGGGAGTGTTTAAAACATCATTTTTTGTTTTTTTAATTAAATTTCCTTACATAGAATAGTAAAAACGAAATCAAGTTTCATGTTTTCAACCATATAAGGTTAGGTATAGAAATTGTTAGTGTCATTCAAGGTATTACACGTGTAATTCATTCATTTTCAAAATGGCGTCATCCACAACAAAAAAGAGAAGAATAAGCCTTGTAACGAATTTGGCAATTTAATTCATGTTTGTACGTTTCAATGAACTAATGTGAGTTCTTTTTAAGGGTAAGTATCTCGTGAATATCTATTCGCTGTTCATCGGCTCTGTTCTTCGCTTTTTGTAACATACAACAGAACCGATACCAGGGGGCGGTACTCAGAGTGTACGAAAATGATATCATTTTTTTATACACAGGGAGGCCGACAATATCCCGATGTCTGATTAAATTTGTATTTATCTTTATGTCACGAGCGACTGTGGAACGTGTTTTATCAATCCAAATTTCGCTCACTCTGTTTTTCCTGGCAAAAGTACGGATTTCATGGTTCTTCTGATTATAAAAATGAAGGCAATGCCTCTGTTACTTTGAGACTGGCACATCATTAATACACATTACTATAATCACAGTCCCTGAGGGACTGTGCTTTAATCTAAACCTGAACTCCCTGTGGTCCTAAAATTGTTGTAACAAAGAATTTGAGAGAATTTGAATTCTATTCCTGGTTATCAGAATACAGTGAGCCTAATATGTGTAATCTAAGCATTGCCTTTACGATCAACATATTCTTGAATTATCCAATTTCAAAAATAGAAATTTTCGAAATCATGTCCATAAAACCTTAGAAAAGGTCTATGATAAAACCAAGTATGACCTTGTTGTTTTTGGTTTCCGTGTACACATTCTGTTACGAACTTCACTGAATAGTGCCACCATGTGTTCAAACAAAAAAATAAGTACTGGTATCATAATGAGATGAGATTTTTTTAGTAAAGATAAAGATGTCGGCACGGATCTAGAAGCCGTACCTACACACGAATTGGTGACGTCACAAAATACATGACCTTCAATCGGGGTCGTTTCCTCGGTATATACGAATTGGTATATACAAATTACAATAAAGATACTTAAGACATTACACATAAGGTAAAACAAATCATGTGACAATATAATGATAATAACGGTAATAAATCCTAGCTTAACAGTTGAACAGAACGATCATATAGTCAGTCGGGTGACGCTGAGGGTCACGCACTTGTTGCAAAATGGCCGTGTGGTTGAAACTGGGTCATGGCGTGACGGGCGAGGAAGACATCATTAAACACTCTCAAAATCACAATAAAACGGGGAAGTGGATGCATATTACCGCGTAGCGAACATGGGAAATAAAAAAACGCTCAATACAAACGACATGGGTTCGAATCACACGAGATACACACTCACCAGAACCGAAACAATCAGAAACGAGCAATCGTTTTGGCTTTTCCATTCAACTCATCGGAACACTGGAGTAGTTAGAAAAATGAACACCACTTAACGACCAACGTTGTGGCGTGGTACACAAGCGTGCCATCAAAATAAAACATAATTAGCTTGAAAAGACAGTGGGTTCGAGTCCCGCTCAGAGCTACCGTAAAAACGTAAATCAAATAAACTGAAATCTCTCAAACCGTAAACAAGTAAGCAAAGAACGTTGCGAAAAATATAAACCTCACAAACTCCACCATACAAACTGAATGATAATATAA